ACTCCCGACCCGCAGCCTCGATAACCCAGCCCTGGGATCCCCCCCAGCTCTGCCGGTGCCCCTCACTCCCGACCCGCAGCCTCGATAACCCAGCCCTGGGATCCCCCCCAGCTCTGCCGGTGCCCCTCACTCCCGACCCGCAGCCCCTGCTATTCCAGCCCTGGGCTCCCCAAGGTTGTATCTCTGCATCTCAGCTGTCCTGGAAGCTCTCAGATCCCCTTTGCCACAACTTGGCTTTACCCCCTCCCACCTCCTGCTCAGCTTCCAGGTCCCTGTGGGAAGCTGCATTCCTTTGGGACTAGCCTCATCCCCTGCCTTCCCAGAAACCCACAGGGCCTTGGAAGGGGGGCAGCTGGAAGCTGGTCAAGCGGGGGGAGGGGGACTCTCTCCAGGAATCTCTTGGAGCTGCCAAGAGACAAGCCGGGGAAGGCAAAGTGCTAGTTATCACTGGGGCCGCTCGCATTGCCGGGCAACCCGGCCGCAGCAAACAGAGACACGGGCTCTGCTTCCCCAGGCGCCCCACGCAGCCAGGAGACCCTGGGTCCAGAGCCGGGAGCCTGGCAGGCCGGGGGCAAATCCAGGAAGCCCCCTGCACAGGCCCAAGATCTGGGCCCTCATGTCACGCCAGGCGCTGTGGGCACCGCACTGACACGGCCTGGCCTCGCAAAACTCCCCGTCTTACCAGCCGAGGGAAGGAGCCGCAGCCCCGGCTTATGGGGGGAAATGGGACCCAGCGAGAGGCAGCTTGCCCAAAGTCTCCACGGCGGAGCTGGGAACTGACCCAGGTGTCCTAGGCCAGCGCTCTCCGCAGTGGGCCCCCCTCCTTGGAAAGGGCGAATCAGGCCGGCTGCTGCCCCCTGCTGGGGTGCCCCAGCGCCCGTCAGCCGGCCCAGCATGGGCGGGGTTTGCAGGTAGGGGACCCGTGGGAACGCGGCGCTGCTGCTGCAGCGTGGGGCCGGGCAGCTCCGGGACGTGGCGGGACATGCAGCTGCAGGAAGAGGAGCTGGGCCCTGCGGGTGGCAGAGCCCCAGCTGCTCGTGAGCACTGGGAACAGGTGGGGCCGGGGGCAAAGAGAGGCCAGTAGGAGGGTCATTGCCCTCTCTTAGCCAATCAGGATCCCTGGTACCCACCGTTGCCCTCTGGTCCCCCATGCCTCCTAGACCCTGTACTGCTTAGGGGGAGTCTCCTTTAGCTTGGAGGCTGCTCTGTCCCCGCTGGCTAGGACGCTGCCGGCAGCCCGGCGTGTGGGCCATACAGGAGAAGCTGTCGGTTTGTCACCTGTGGGCAGAGGGAAGTGGGTCTGTTTCAGCGACAAGGCGGGTGTGGGGTTAGATGAAGACAGAGGCGGGCGGGAGGGAGTTTTCCACCCAGTTGTGGCAGCGGTAAAGCCCCATTGTGCGTGGAACCCGGGAGGGGGCGAAGGAGCCCGGTGGCTGGGAAATCTGAGCTGCTGGGCGGAGAGAGGGGGGGAAGCTGGGATGCAAGAACCCAGCTGTTCCCCCATAGCCTCCCCCAAGCACCTCTGTGCTCCCCGCTTTACGGACACCCAGCCTGACCAATCCATGCTGTGACGGAGCAGGGAGCAGGGCAGATTTGACCTGGGAATGTTGCAGGGGGGT